GATTTTTTGACAGTTTTTTAGTTTGAAAGTAGATTACATCCTATGATGACCTGGTTCGGTAAACGTTCAGTGGTCCTGTAACATCGGACTCCAATTCGATCATGTGATTATTTTTATCTAAATATACATGCCACTAATCCTTGTGTATAATCATCAACTTAACCCGCATTATTGAATAACGGAATTAAATAAGTCATATACTAGGATGCTTTTCGAATACGTGTATTTCATAGAATCATTGATCCGGACAAACGATCAGAGAAACGAAGCGAAATGACGCGCGGTAAAGAAGGCTTGTGAGTTAACTCACTTTAATTAAGCGTTACTCAATATTTATAGTCAAATTGAGCCAAGGTGAAGCATGACAAAGCAAAATGCTAAGTGAGGCGAAGCAAAGCGAGTAATTAACCAGGTCGAAAAGTGACTGAAGAAGTATGGAAAAACTGGACTGTCCAAAAACTAGAATAACTTAAGTGGGTTTGACAGACGTTGATATAATAAACTGGTCAGTGATTTTCAGGATAAGTGGTTTAGTAAATGCATATTTATCAGAATGGGTTTTGTGGAGATCTTAGAAATTTCACTTGTCGAAATCATGAGCCAATTGAAGCTAGACCAACATGGAAAACCTGGAAGCACTGGACGGCCGTCTCGTCCTATTGTGAAACTCCTCAGGAGTGTGCATCTACAACATCGCCCCCTGCGAGATTCGAACTCAGGACCTACTGGTTTCGCACGCGGGCACTTAACCACTAGACCACTGAACTGGCATCTAACAGTGTTAATGTTTAACTTCAACCAATCCACGAAGTTGCGCCACCGTACATCATTGTCTTTAGTGAGTTACTATCTCACAACAGACCTGGTTTAACTACACTCGTGGATGTGCACTGCTGAGAAGTCCCATACTAGGACGAGTTGGCCTTCCAGTGCTTCCAGGTTTTCCATGGTGGTCCAGCTTCAATTGAGTCATGATTTCAACAAGTGAAACTGCATATTTATGATTACTATAACTAATCGTTCATCTTATTTCACTTTCTGTCCAACTTTAAAGTTGTATGTTAAGCTACTGCTAAATTGTGAAACATGAAGATCTCCACAAAATGTCAAATTCAATAAACTTTTTTCAATAAATAACTTTAGACATCTATGACATGGAATTCATCCACAACATAGAGTTGGTTTCACTCTTATTTAATTACTTCTAAAGATATATATATATATATATATATATGACATTCCACTTCAAAAAATTTATCGAATATGCAACAGATGGTAGATTAGATTACTTAATTGATAAATAAAAATTAAAAAACGAAGCTCAAAATGTATGTCAGATAAACATGTATACTAAACCACAATTCAGAAGATAATCAGATTAAGAATGATATATTGTTGAATAAACTATGATCTTAAACTATCTCCTATTGAAAAGAAAAGGAAAAAAACTTTAAGTCTTACAATGTCATGTGTTTATTTATTTATTTCATGATTTAATTACTACTGTTGATCTATGATAGATCATTTCCTTAATTTGAGTTAGCTCAACATTTATTCAGAGCCAAGTTACCTTTTAATACATGTCCAGAAAATATGTTAACAACTTGATCATGAATTCACAATGAATGATTCTTCAAAACAAAAAAAATACAAAAAAAATCGAAGTCGTTTTTACGTTATCCTAGATCATCGTAATAATAATAATAATAATAATAATAATAAAACGTATAATAAAAGTTTTCAAAATAGAACATTCATTTGCTTTCTTACTCTGTCATTATGAAAGAAAGAAAGAAATAAATAAATAAAGAAAAAATAAACACCCTGGATACAACACAATAAATGAGTTGATATTTAAAGAGTAAAATTCATAATACACTTTATAATCTTAATTATTAGTTGTACAAATATTTATATTCTTCTTATTGGATAACGCTTTTTATCATTATAATAATAATAATAATTTCTCTTTAGTAAATGCAAAGTAAGGAAAGAGTTTAATCGAAAATTAATGGGATGGAATATATCCCAAAAGATGAATGACCTCGTATTGAATATTGGTAGTTCGTTAAATAAATCCAATGCAACTTACATAATTATCATTGTATTAAATTAACTTTTTTTTATACCACTAATTACTTACTTATGCCTGTTACTCCCGCCGACCTGCATTCTCAAATTCACTCTGTTCTAGGTCTTCTTTTCTCATTCTGTTCAATTTTTGTGAAATACTACTAATTAGTAGAAAAATATTTTGAATTAAATTTCTGTTAAATTAAATTACATATTCAGAGAGGGGTTTTGTGGATATTATAGTTATTTAATAGTTTTATTCACGAGTCACTTGAAGTTAGACCATCATGGAAAACCTAGAAGCACTGGACAGCCGTTTCATCCTAGTATGGGACCCCTTAGCAGTAGTCTAGTGGTTAAGCGCTCGCCCACGAGACTGATAGGTCCTGGATTCGGATCTTGCGAGGCGGGATCGTGGATGCGCACAGCTGAGAAGTCCTATACTATGACGAAACGGCTGTCCAGTGCTTCCTGGTTTTCCATGATGGTCTAGCTGCGACTGATTCATGAATTCAACTAATAAATTAAATTTCAATTAAACTTGAACATAACACATGTGATAATTAAAGCCACTTAATCACTTTAGTTAGGTTTATTACTCAATTTGACAATTCACATGGGATCTATTCATTTTCGATTATTATGTCTTATAGAAAATTAAACATAATTAATGATATTTCTAATGATAATGAATGCATTGTAATGGAAACATTTAACTCAGAATATATGTAATACCACCGAAATTATGTTGTATCAATTTATAGATTGATCCATTTGATAATATTTTATAGGGATACATAACTATGCAAAAGATTATTTGACAATGGTTTTATACATAGACGAACATAAATAAACCAGTTATTTAAAGATAGCCAGCACTGGTTTCCAAACCAATATTCATCATAATAAACTTAGCTTTATAGAACATTTTAACAATCGTTCAACAATGAAGACTATGGAGCGCTGAACAGCTGATTCATTGTAGTATGTGACTTCTCAGAGATATTTTTCTATGAACATACTGAGGATCAAAATTTAGAGTGTGTTTATCACTTCAACTGTTGTATCGGCATTCAACGGTTCGTATATCTAACATCAATCAGTATGTGAAATTTAGCAACGTCATTTAATATCATTAGTGGAAAGTCATCTTACAGTGGACATGGTTAGACTACAGTGGTTAAAGTTTCCCATTTATAATTGAGGAATTACTTCACAAAATCGTCACTTATAAGCACATAATAATAATTAGCATGAGATAATTACAGAAATTGTTGTGTTTCATAGTTTACATCACGGGCTAGCATTAATTAAGCATAAACTGAAAACCAGGAGATTTCAGGTTAGATCCCCGGTGTTGTGGTGGATGCACAATGAAGAACAGCACATACCAGGATGAAACATCTCTGTTGTGTTTCCTGGCCTTCAACGGCTCTGTAACTTAAATCAATCTTTGATATAAATCATGAAATTTAGTAATCCTAATAAATCCTCTCAAATTAAGAACATAAGGACAGTTTACTTTATTTAGGTTTGACCTGTAAGTTAAAAATTAAAATTTCACCAAAATGAATACATAACTATACTACATTGAGTAAACAGAATTTAGCTGTTGTTTATGAAATAATTGAGTAAATAAAAACTGCAAACGAATTTTACTTTGAGTTAAATACTTGAAAATCCGTTTCTAGTAAGCCTTATAATCTCATATTTTATTGTATTAGTCATATAGTAGTGCTAACAGGTCATGCTCAAGACCATGTTACTAAGAAATGTAGTCTTACATAGAAATAAATTGACATACTGTAAGTGCTTTGAAAACTTCTTGACGTAATGAATATTACGAGATCATTCATATACCGAACTGTAATTGTGCTTTCAACTGTCCCTTATTACACTGTGTGAGTAGTGCACATACGCCATAAAAATTATATATATATATATATATATATATATATATATATATATATATAGAGAGAGAGAGAGAGAGAGAGAGAGAGGGAGAGGGAGAGGGAGAGATCTGAATGTCGGTCATACTTGAGCTTTTGTACGAAACTCTTTGTCAGGTCTCAATAATGGTTGCTAGAAACCAGAAAGATTGACCCTAGTCATTAAGACACTTATTAAATATTTCATATTACATTTCTTTTTCTTTGCAATCTTTGCAATTAGTACGTGATTCATCAATATTTTCATTCACTTTGTTCGTTGAATAACTTCATTGCCAGTTTCCTAATAAATCATATGTAAATTCTGATCGTCATACTAAAGATGAATATTTTTATTTCAATGATTTATTCAATCATGAACTATGATAAAAAAACTATAATCCAACTCTCAGTCATCATCATTAATTCTCTAACAATCATATTTACTACTTAAAATATCTTTCCATAGTTCCATATTTTCACAAAGCAACTGAGACAAGTGAAAACTTGTTACTGATTTTGTCGTTTTTTTAAATAGTAGAAAATGGAACTAATCCATGTCGGGTAGAGACAGGTATCTACTTCAGTACAATGGAAGTTGGTCGCGCAATTTCGTGGATTGTTTCAGGTTAGACACTATCACCACTAAATACCTGCTCAGTGGTCCAGTAGGTTAAGCAATCGCGCGCGAAACCGAAGACCTTGGGTTTGAAACCCGCGAGCGGGATCGTAAATGCGCACTGCTGAAAAGTCTCAAAATAGGGCGAAACGGCCGTCCAGTGCTTTCAGGTTTTCAATGGTGGTATAACGTCCATCGGTTCATTATCTCAATCAAAAACTTAATAATCTCCACCACCCCTATACTAGCAATGTCTTTTTCTTAATCTAATAATAATTCAAATATAATACTGGTTTAAAATATTTTAATAAACCAATCAAACTGATTACATAATATGTCATTATGTATATATATATGTATCTTTTTCTCTTCTTTTCTAGAATTATTAATGGAATATTATCAATCATTTCCATGGAAGCTAATCAAACAACAAATTCAACTTTGAATCTTCCAACTTTAGTTATTTTAATTAAAAATATTTGTATTCCATTTTATTTATTAATATTAATATTTGGTTTATTTGGCAATGGATTAACAGTTGTTATATTACAATCAAAACGTTTACAACAATCTAGTACATTAATTTATTTAACTGTATTAGCTATTGTTGATATATTTTATTTACTTACTGGTTTATTATTTACTATCATTAATTATACGTTTTTATTTCCAAGTGATATTAGACATTATTCATTAATTTCATGTATTTTAACACCATATTTAAGTTATACATTAGCTTATTTAAGTGTATGGTTATTAGTATCAGTAACTATTGATCGTGCAATTTGGGTTGTACAACCATTTAGTGCAAAACGTGTATGTACAACACGTAATGCCTGGTTAACTATATTTAGTATAACAATTATTTTATTTATATTTGATTCACATTTCTTTTGGACAATGAATTATAATATTGATTCAATTAATTCTACAATTAATACTACTTATTATAAATGTACACCAAGTTATTTTACCCAAACTATATTTCCATATATTGATTTATTATTAGTATGTGTAATTCCATGTTTATTTATGCTGATAGCTAATGGATTAATTGGAATACAATTAAAACGAATGAGTGATTTTAATAAAAAACGACAAAAGAATCGTTTATTTTTGAATCATGCTTCAATTCAACAACAACAACCACAACAACCAACACAAGGATCATTAAAGTGTGCATACAATTTGACAGCAGGCAAATTAACAAATGATTCTCGTTTAAATGATGATTTGTCAACAAATATCAGTGGTATACAATATCCTAGAAAACGATGTAAATCAAATGCATTGAAACATTGTGTTAAGAATTCTATTAAAGGTCGTTCAAATATGAATAGATCTTCAGCATTGACAGCAATGTTATTAGCAATTAATATGTTTTTTATGATAAGTGTATGTCCACTTCTTGTTTATGATGTAATCTATTTTGCGTTTAATTTAAATACTTGGATTGAAAAAGATGAATTAATTAGAGGTGTATTAGTTTTTGGTATTGAACGATTTGTTTATGTTTTATGGTATACTAATTTTGCTGTACACTTTTTATTATATTGTCTAAGTGGTCCACAGTTTAGAGCACAAGCAAAACATTGGCTTCAATCATGTTGTCATTTTATGAATTTACCTTGTTTAATTAATGATAAATCAACAATAAAATTACAGGATACAACAAAAATTCATGAATTTCATGATTCCACTATAAAAAAACCAATTTCACCACAAAATTTAAGTATAAATTATTGTCCATCACCTAGACAATCTTATGATGATACAATTCAACGTCCATCATATCATCATTATCCACAACAAAGTCATCAATCTTCTTTTGTACAAATTAATGATGAAAATCATCAAATATTTAGATATAATTCTGTTCAATCTGGTTGTATTTAACAACAAATACATACAAATATCTCAGCAACAAACAATCTACTTTACCATCTATAGTTTTGTTTAAAATAACTCGAAATATGATTATTATTATCTCAAATCATTTGAATCTTTCATTGAATTAAAATTTAACTACCCGGAGTGATAAGATTTATTGAATGATCCATTAGTTATTATTAAATATTCAATCAATCAATCAATCAATCAATCAAGCAATCGATCATTTAATTTAACTAGATATATCTATGATAAATAAATGAATATATTTACGATGGAAATGATTAAGTAAGAGATGAAGTAAAGTTTTTCTGTCATATATACAACCACTCTTCTTATTTTTTCCTAAAAAATTGTGAATGTTGTACATAATTATGCATTCTATTGAAATAATGTTTTGCTGTTAATTTGGTTGTTGCAAAACATAATGGAATATCATTGGATTGTTGATTTTTTCTTTTACATTCATAGTTAGGAAATACTGTTGCTAGTTAAGTGGGATATCTAACTTAACTGGAGTGATTATCATTGGTGAAGATTGAATGTTAATTCAGCCACTATTTTCAATGATAGTTATTGAGGGTATAATTTATCGCTCAAACGATTATAGTCATTGCAAACTAAAACGAATGAAATAGCTTTTTTGGATGCTAATGTAACGTCTGATTACCACAATCAATGTATATTGCGAAGCTTTTGAAACTTCCTCGGGTTATGTTACTATTGAGGTACTTTATTACGAAACATAAAATGACCTTTTTACAAGGTGATTGAACTCACTACATTTCTAATGATATACCACTGAGAACCTAGTAAATCAAATGCCAATGCTTAAAAATTACAATTAAATCCATTGTTTTATTCATAAAGGTCTTCGATAATACGTTGGATATAAGAATTCAGTGAACATTGAGATAGTTTGCCTTGTAATCTACTTCATTATTGTTAGGCGGAAACAAACTAGTGAAATCATAGGTTAGTATTTCTTGATATAAAGTTAAGTTGTACCCTTAGAAAATCGCTACAATACAACATCAACACTCATTCATTGTAATATATATATATACAGTTAAAATAAACAATTCATCCTATATTGTCAGTTTGAGCCTCAGCACAGTAAAAGAAAAAGGATTCATATTAGAAAATGTGTCAGTAAAGAAACTGAAATAAACTCATAATGATTAAATTTTTATTTTCGGACTGATGTTTGATGTTAGGTCTTGAGGTTTGGGTATATTTCATAAAGCAGTGACGTGTTAGTTAATTCTTGGCAATCTGTTACCAAAGTGGTGATGGAATCACACGTCGTGAATTAAATAAGACAAGTTTTGATTAGTGATCTGTCAAATAAATTATGGTGAATAATAGTACGGCTTCATTAAAATATAAGGTTTGATTGATACTTCATCTTTACCGATATGTCATAAAATATTTGGTTTATGGGATTTATTTAGACAGAATATGGTTTTTGTTGTAACGTGTGGATTGCAGGTTAGATGCACAGCGTATTTATTGATCGATTACAGTGACACGTAAAACACGTAAGGACCACCTAGAGTCCCGATTGGTCCCGCTTCCCTGTCTAGCCCAGTCAGTTGAGTGTAGAACGCAAGTCACAGCCTCTGAATTATGAATCATTATATTTCAGACATACTCTATTTATATACTAACCAAACAGACCACATCGTACCATAAAAATAGAAAACAACATCTGTACAATATTTAACGAGTGAAGTAAATAACGGCCAATAGGAAATGTTCATTTAACGTCCTAGGACATCATTAGACTTAACATGATAATGATTGATACATTATTCCTCAGCATCTATAACAGTTTTCTAGTCTAGTTCTGTCAATCAGACATGATTAACGAGGATAGACAGGAGAGATCAAGAAATGTAGAAAATTGTATTCGCTGGTTAAATGTTACATATTCACAATTATACGAATTTACGGGTACCTAGAATAACTTGACAATAATACACGTGGGTCGTAACCCTCTGTACGTTGATTATTTTGTCACTCACTATAGCAGCTCGATCAACACGGTGTTATGAAATTTCGTGTAACTGGAGTTTCTGTTCAACTTTTAACCATGAATTGACTTATAAAATACCACTGGACTCCGAGGTAAACTAGGCAAAGGTTCCATTCTAGTACATACTTCTTAGCAGTGTCTATTCCTGAACAGATGTAAAAGTAGTGAAAAAGTAGGTTATGCTTTCGACTTCATTTATTTGATCATTTAGCGCAAGTGGGGTTTTGATCATTAGAACTTTCCTTTGATATGGATAATCAGAAGCTCATGTTTGAAACATGAGCCACAAGAGTCAGTCGATTGGTTAATAAGGTAATACCTCGCTAAAAATATTGGAACACACTACATTGCAAATAGAGTTAGAAAGAAATACCACTGATTCTACATTGACAGTTCAAATACATCATGTTCAGAGTGAAGCTAGTAATCCTGAGTTTATTCTCATGTCAGTTGTTTGATACACATTTTCAGAAAGTCTGAATTCATTATCAAACAATTGTTATATTACAGTATTATTCTTGATGACTTCTCAGCCAATTATCTTACATGTTTTAAAATAACTTAACAAGCTAAACTCATTTGATGATTCAATATTCCTAAACAAAGGTTCTATAGATGTTTTTGATTGAAATCCTAAACCGATTGTTGTTAGACTACCTTTCAAAACCTAGAAGCACTGGACAGCCATTTCGTCCTATTGTGTGACGCCTCAGCAGTGCATATTCACGATCTTGCACACAGGTCCTTCAATCTCGCTCATGAACGCTGTACCTCTACACCACTAAGCCAGCATCCAACAGTGTTAATGCTTAACTTAAGCCAATACAATATAAAAGCAACTAGTTATTATTACTTTTTTAAAAATCACAACTGTCAGTATTTTGTTTACAAACATTTTCTGTACATAGTAATCTTCTTGAATGTTTACATTCCCATAGAAGAAATTAGTGAACTTCAAAGTTCCTATTTTACAATTAACTTTATCAACATTCAATACAATCGCTGTTTATAAATGGTTTCAACTTTTTTTAAAAAATTTGTCCTTAATAACTTTATGTTCATGAGATTTTATGAAATTAGTTTACGAAACTTTCAATTAGTCTCAATGCATCGTATGTCAGTGTAGGGAAGTAAGTTCATGTCATTTAACTTGAAACAAGAATAGTAACTATTTGAGTTTTAATTTAATCCCCCTCTCTTTTTTTTCCTTTTTTTCATCTTATATACTACAGGAAATCATAATCTTAAAAAAAATATTTATTTGATAGACCTATTTCTAAGGTGATATCAAATTGTATATCCAAATTATATTATTCATAAAATTAATTGAAGAACTAATTGAAACGTTGATCATTTCTACTAAAATAAAACTACACTTTTGTCCTAAAATAAAATGAATATTAATTAATTTCAATTTATGACTGATTGATCCTATGAATATGAATAAATGGAAATGTGATTGAATTAAAAAGACAGAATAAATTAAGTTTTTAGATAGAGTTTAGCCCAATGAACAAGGTGAAAGTAGAAGTACACATCAATATATATATATATATATATATTTGTATATATATAATTTATTGATTATTCAAGGAATGTTCTGTAATTTAGTTTCTTTCATAATTTAATTTGTATACCCTAATAGAAACAAATATTTTTCGTTGTTAAGTAAACTTTTTAAAATGAGGAAGTTTTATATTAAATACTACAACAAACGGTTTCCGAAAAAGACTCATGATCATAACCATTGAAATTACTATAATATCCACAAAACCCTTTCTGATATTAATCAACATATGCTCACTAGTGACTGGCTTCAAGAGGTATATCATGAAGTTCTAGTAAGAAGTAGTTACCAGTGAAGTTCAACCAGGTCTGTTGTGAGATAGTAACTCATTGAAGACAATGGATTTGTCACTCAATTTCGTGGATTAGTTGAAGTTAGATATTAACACCATTGGGTGCCGGCTCAGTGGTATAGTGGTTAAGTGCTCGCTCGCAAAACCAATGGGTTCTTGGTTCGAATCTCGCAGAGGGCGAGGTCTTGGATGCCCACTGTTGAGGAAGCCCAAAATAGGACGAGACGGTCGTCCAGTGCTTCTAGGGTTTGCATGGTATTCTAGCTTCAATTGATTCATGATCTTAACCATTGAAATAATCAAGTGTTTATATTGTTATAAAGATGATAAACATAATCGATGTGTTTAATTCATAATAATTTATCTGATCCAAACATTCTAGATAATATTAGACTATCTTTTGCTTATCTCTACGTCAATGGACAAAACAATTTGTGGACAACCTCTAGCTATTTTTACACTTATAAAAAATAAAGAAGCTGAATTTCATTTTTTTTTTGGTAGTAAAGTCATTCTAATCAAGTACTCATAACACGTAACATTTCCGAAACCAGTTCTCTTCATTTCGTTATATGATGATTTATTTGCGACTAGGACGTGAATAATAAAAAGTCAGTTTAAACCATAAATCACGTAAATTTGATGTTCAGTATTCGTCGGAAGAATATCTTTAGTACATAATAAAATGAATTAGGTAACCAAACATTTTTGAACGACAAGAATAGTAAGAGTCAGAGTTACTCAACAACTTCATAGTGAATTTGAATATTAAATATTCAGTTCACCTCTAAAGTTATGTGAAAAATCTAAAGAGATTATGTAATAAAAATAACCAACTAAACGATTGAATGTTCAATAACATTGTATAATTTGTCTGGAGCCCCTTGAGTCCCTCTGGAGGCTACTGTCTGTTCAGAGCCCGGATAAAGAAGGAGAGTTGTACATGTGGTTAGCGACTCCATCCCGTAGAAAACTAACTCGCAAAAAAAGAAGCACAAACCGGAAAAAATTATTCTAAATTATGTACGAGATGCAATATAGACCATATGGTTTGGAAAATCACTCATTCAAAATAAGTTTAATTTCACCCAAATACTTTTTCACTAAAAGGTCAATCAATTGATAATTCATTCAAAATATAATATAACGAATTATCTGCTTGAGTAAGCTTTAATGACCATGTTAGCTAAATTAAATGTTATTCAATATAATTATACTTCATAAGATGGTTTGAATACAAATATGTACTATATACAAGCAGAATTTTTCATGTCAAGTTGTTTTGTTGAATACAGTTGTACTGATCGTATATACATATATTCTTATCATATAGTTGATACTGTCCTTCAAATAACACATGAAAATCGTTACATGATCATATAACGTTAATAAATTATTTGAAGGATATAGTGAGGGCCATAATAAATAATCAGTTAAACACGGAAATAACCTTAATGATAGGCAGAAGTAATTTTCATTTAGTTTTTCACCCCCGTCTATATTAAAAATAACAAACAAAAGTGACTAGGATTTACGTGACTAATAAGTTGTTT